CTGCCTTCTCATGTTCTCATGTGTCCATTAACACCCCAACAGTAAGGAAACAGGAAGAAACTCCAGATTCTGACAGCAAAGGGAGGGGAAATTTGGGTTCTATTTTCCTATCCTATAGTCATGAGTTTTTGATTTTTCCCCCCTCCATGTTTTTTCTTTTCATATTCTGCTTCTTTTTTGGAATTAAAATGAGTATCTGGACTCGGGGTTCTAAAGGTGAAGGAAAATAATTATGGACTTGAGATGCCAAACACACTTGGCGTCAAATCCTGGCAACACCATTGATGAGTCATGTGCCCTTAGTAAAGTTCATTTCTCAACAGTCTTGTCTTTCTGCTTTGTGAGGCTAGAACAAGCAATATTCTTCTTCAGGTTACTGTGAGACACAAGGAGTATGTTGACATATAATTGGTGTCCAGTAAACATCAGTTCTCTTCTTCTAGAGGGAACTTGATCATTAATTAGGTGTCTCGGCTGGAAATTAATTCAGTTCCTCAGCTGGAAAATGACATTGGATGATAGGTTGCTCTCCTGACAATGCGTGGCTCCATGTTTGTGCAGTGGTGTCCTCACTGTCCTTGCTGGCACACTAGAATCACTAGAATCATCTGTTTCTTTCTTCTCCATATACTTCAGAGTTCTCAAAGGCAGTGCAGGACCAGGCTGGCATGGCTTGAGGGCTCGCTTCATCTTGTTTTCATACCAACTGGCCTATGACCCATCATTAGTCCTTTTATGGCTTCTGTCTAAAAAATGTCTCGTGTTTTGCCTACGGAAGATGGTTCCCTAATGAATGTCAAATAACAATAAAGCTTAAGTGTCTTCATCAGACACTTGAACAGGCATCTGTCCTCCCAGCAGTAAAATATGCTGTGGCTTTGGAAACAGCTAAGAAATTTGAAACTAGGTTTCAGCTACTTAAAGGAGAGCTGTGAGTGATTTCAGTCACTGACTCAGTTAAAGGAAAAGCCCTCATGAAACTACAACTAAGCTGTGTTGACTATAAGTACCACCACCCCCATGGAAGACAAAAGAAGAGTCTACCAAGGAGAGCCAGGTGATTGAAAGATGGGCAGGTCCCTGGGGCCCACGGCACTAACCAGGTAAGGTTTGGCAGTCTCCTGTGGGAACACAGTTTTCCCTCTGCCTCTGCTGCAGTCTTAGGCCCGGGCTCTGTGGACATTGGTCCTGAGGACAACACCTGCCGCAGAAGCAGTGTAAAGCCTGCAGGCCAGGTCTGACCCAGCCCCAGAGCATGCACTTAATGGTCAAGAGTGCCTCAAAGTCACAAAATGAGAAAAACCTACTCAGATAGCACTGACCTCTATCACATAAGCTCAGATATCCAGAAGCCAATGAATCACACCCAAAGGCCCTGAAGAGACACGCAGACAAGATTGTGAAGCTGCCTTCAAGATGGGGTAAGCACAGAAAATGGAAGGCTCTGTGGCATTTGGAACCTGATGGTCCTAGGTTCAAGCCATGGTACAGACACTGGTGAACTGCATGATTTGCAGAGAGCCATTGAACCACTCAGAGCCCCAGTTTTCTAGTATGGAAAGTTAGATCTAAAGACAGGGATCAAGGTAGAAGGACACTTAGTTTTTCCTTTTGGAGCTGAAGGAAAGATAAAAGATAAGGTGTATTGACTGCCTAGTATGTAGCTGGTACTCAGAAAACAATAGCCAGAAAACAATACCCAAAAGGCTAATGGATTGAGTGGTCACCATGCTCCAGGGTAAAGAAACAAAGCCTGATAATGATCCCCAGTGAGAAATATCAAGGCAATGATCACTAGTGGCTCACCAAGAACAACAGAACTAAGCAAAGTTCAACAAACAATTTCATTTTGGTAGGTCATCATATTTTCCTATCAAGGAAATAAACCCAATGCACTTTGTTTACTTCAAGAAGTTTGAAAAAGATTTTTATAGTAAATATGGAGAAATTAAGGCTGAACAATAGCAGCTGTGTGAAATTATCCCTGAGATGGGCCCATCCTCCCATGAAGGAAGGCCTACCTGGATCCTGCCGTAAGGATATTCAATTGTGTTTCGTATTAATTCTTGATCAAATGACTCCTATGAAGCAAGAGTGAGAATAGTTCCCATATTCTTGGATGACACAAAACTGAGAGGGCTATAGCATAACTGGATTATAGAATTAAGATTCAACAATATCTCTGTAGCCTTAAGTTATGAACTCAGGGAAATAAGCAGAAGCTTAATTATAATAGTCTTCATTTCAGTTCAAAATGGTTGCTAGACATGGCGGCCTCCTTCTAAATGCAATGGTGTTCTTTTCTGAAGCCCAAGATAAAATCCAGAAGTTAAATAAAATAACTCATCAAAGTCCTTTCAGGAGGAGAAATAATACTATTTGGAATTTAAATACTCAGCCCACCTATAGGAGTTGGATTCCAGATACAGTGGTGTATTTGGCAGGCTCATGGAAGAGACAGGTTGTGGGGGTGGGGGGGATGCGAGCACAGGAAGAGAAAAAGAGAGAGACAGATTATGAAGAATTGACTCATGTAATTACACAAGCTGAGAAGTTCCACAATCTGCAAGCTAGAGACCAAAGAAACTACAATTCTAGTCCACTTCTAAAGGCCTGAATCAATGGTGTAAATCCCAGACCAAGGGTGAAAGAAAACTAACGTCTCCGCTCACACTGGCAGGCAGAAAGGGAATTAATCCTCCCTTCCTCCACTTTTTGCTCTATTCAAGCCCTCAACAGATTGGATGATGCCCATCCACACTGGGGATAGTAATTTACCAACTCTACAAATTCAAATGCTCACCTCATATGGAAATACCCAAATGCACCCAGAAATCAGGTTTAATCTGGGCACCCTGTGACCCAGTCAAGTTGATACATAAAATTAACCATCACAAGTAGTCAGTGGGGTTGTTTTAGGAACTGATAGCTTCAGATGCATTAGGCAGTTCCTTCACCTTCTTCTGGGTATGTTAAAGGGTGCTTAAAACCTTATCTGGTACTGTGAATTTTTATGTGAAAGCAGATTCTGCTGTCTGTTTAGAACCAGGAAACCACCTCAGCAAAACTAAAACTAACATTGGAGCTTAACTGAGCCAGACACAGGATCAGCTGGAGCCCTGGCCTCACATTAGAAGTGTCTTCTGTGTCAAAAAGGTCTTATGGTTACTCCTCTTACATGATCCATTTACATCATTTCTGCTGGCAGGAAAAAATAAAGAACACAGTGTGCATCTCATCATGGTCTCTTTCCAGTGTATTTTTCCAAATCACACCACTTTTCATGCTTAACATTCTCCCTTTTGAAGCCATTTTGGCAAAATAGCTAAGGTGCATCCATTGTATTTTACTGTGCTTCCACTTTCTGTTTCTTTATATCCTGTAATTTATTATACAGTTGCTGTTAATTTTTAAATGGACTGAACCTTTTCCTTGGCCAAACATTTGACATGCAATTAAATGGAAATGGACATATTTGAAGCTAGTAGCTTCTTGCTTCTATTCTAATGTCAACACAGCAGAAAGAGTGACCTACCCAACCCCTTGAGAACTTTCCTATTTGTAGGAAAGGTTTATCCTGCCTCCCAGGGACAGTTCTATGTGAGAACATGAAGAATTAGGGAATTGTGCAGGGAACTTTTATGACATCATGATGTAGGCTTCAGAACAGAGAGAGATTTAAAACATTTCCTTTTTGTGGTTTTGACCCCAAACCAGAACAGCAAGGAGGATTTTTATAGGTTACCAAGGGAGTATTTGAGAATAATTTTATTTTTTTACAGAAATAAAATGATTTTCAAGAAATTCTACCAGTGTTTGAGTCAAGTCTACACTTGTCCCCAAAAGTATTGCTTTAAACCCTGTCACATGCTTTTGCTTTTCTGCATTGTAGAATATTTATCTTCAGAGAATCTTAAAGTGATAATAAATATTAGAACTTTCAAAGTCAGAAATGAGGCTCGGGCACAATAATTTCAGATTATAAGCAATCCTCTGCATTATTCAGCATAAATTCATAATTTACTTTTAAAATAAAAGTTTGTTTTCATATGGGATTCTAAGGAGTTAGCATACTATGAGTTTTAGGATTGTGTTTTAGAGCTAAAAGCATTTGAAAAATGGTATTTGCTTATCTTTTGCCAATGACAGAGAGACACATTTTATTAGCACTCAGAGTATGTCCATTTGCCTTTGTTACACGTCTTGGAAGACTTATGTGTCACCAAAAGCAAATCCTTGCTAGGAAAAGGGAAAGGACCCAAGGTCCAGGATCACTCTCCCAGACCATGGAATTTATCTATTTATTCCCAGTGCTGAGCACAAACTGGCCCTCCAGAACTATTCTCTTCCCATAGAAGTTCTAGGAGACTCAAAAGAAGGACCATGAGGCTACTGCAGGGATCCAGTCACTTGTCTTTGTTCGCTGCTCATCCTCATCACTTGGAGGTGTGCTGACTCCCCAGCTCTGGCCACTCCCCTTAGACCAGGGGCACAGCGCTCCCAGACTCACAGACCTACTGGCATCCTGCTAGTGGCTTGTCTGCCTGACAATGGTACTGGCATTTCATCTCAAAGCCGTGCTTGCCAGTGACTGTCACTCATTAGGCCTTCAGTATCTGCCAGCCTTTCCCTTGACCCTGCACACTGCTATTTACTAATACCAGGCACTGATGCCAGGCATGGTGACCATGAAGCCCAATTCATTCAATGTAGTTTTGTTTTAATGAACTTTCTTACTTAAAACTACTTTCATCCTTATTCCTCTATATACACCCCATCCTACTCCAATTAAAAATATTCAAGGAGAAACATCAGTAGTTTTGACATTCCCTTGGGTTCCTTTTCATCATCAACATTCATTCTATAGAATGGAATATTTATTTTTATTTTGTAATTGAAATATAACTTATAGACTAAGTACACAGATTTTAAGTGTCAACTCAATCAATTTTAATGGATTGATACACCTCTTTAACTATTACCCAGATCACCCCATAGAATATTCCCAGCACTGCATATGGTTTCTTCATGCCTCCTCCCATCAGGCTCCCCAGAGGTAACCATTGTTCAGACCTCTGTCACCACAGATTAATTTTGCCTGTTTTTAGCCATTATATAAAGGAATTATACAATTTATTATCCTTGTTTCTGGCTTCTTTATCTCATCCTTATGTCTGCCAGATTTATCCACATTATGTCAAACAGCAATAATTTGTTATTTTATAATTCTGTGTAGTTTTCCATTGACTATAGCATAATTTATCTATTTATCCTACTATTGATAGACACGTGGATTGTTTCCAGGACTACTATAAAGAACACTGCCATAGACATTCTCATACCTATCTTTCAGAGGGCTTGAGAGTCATTTTTCTTGTGTATACCTCCTGGAGTATAACTGCTGGGTCAGAGAGTGAATGTGTTTAGCTTGAACCATACTTCCAAACAGTGTGTTAAAGTGGTAGTGCCCATTTACACTCCCAGCTGCAGTGTTTGAGAGCTCCAATTGTTCCACACACTTGTCTGCACTTGAGCTGTCAGTCTTTTTCATTGTATCCACTCAGAAAGTTGTGTGGCAGTATCTAGTTATAGTGTTAACTTGAATTGCCCTTAGATGTAATAACGTTGAGGAATTGCTGTGGTCTGAATGTCTGTGTCCACCCCAAGTTCATATGCTAAAATCCTAACCCCCAACATGATGGTATTAGAAGGTGGAGTTGCTGGGTGTGGTAGCTCATGTCTGTGATCCCGGGACTTTGGGAGGCTGAGGCAGGTGGATCATCTGAGGTCAGGAGTTTGAGACTAGCTTGACCAACATGGAGAAACCCCATTTCCACTAAAAATACCAAATTAGCCCGGAGTGGTGCCACATGCCTGTAATCCCAGCTACTTAAGAGGCTGAGGCAGGAGAATTGCTTGAATCCAGGAAGCAGAGGTTGTGGTGAGCCAAGATCGTCCCATTGCACTTCAGCCTGAGCAACAAAAGCAAAACTATGTCACAAAATAAAAAGAATATGGGGTTTTGGGGAGGTGATTAGGTCATGGGGACAGAGTCTTATGAATATAGGATCAGCGACCTTATAAAAGAGGTCTAAGAAATACCCTTCACCATTTTCACCATGTGAAGACACCATGAAAAGATGACCATGGCTGAGGAAGCTGGCCCTCACCGACTACCAAATCCACCAGCACGTTCATCCTGGACTTCTCAGCCTCCAGAACTGTGACAAATGTTTCTCTTGTTTATAAGTCACCTCATTGTGGTAATTTTGTTGTAACAACCAAAGAGATTTAAGACAGGATTTTTCACATGTTTATGGGCCATTACTAAACTTTTGTGAAGGGCCAATTCAAGTCTTTTAATCATTTTCAAGTACAGTTGTTTGTCCTTTCCATATTACTTTTAAGAGTTCTTTATACATTCTGGGTTTGAGTCCTTCATTAGCTATTTGTATTGCAAATATCTTCTCCAAGTATGCCAAGTATGTGGATTTCTTTTTCACTATCTTAATGGTAGCTTTTGATGAATACACATTGTTAATTTTAATAAAGTTTAATTTCTAGTTTTTTCATTTTGTGGCTGCTGCTTTTCATGTCCTGTTTAAGAAATGTAAGTTAAGAAATGTAATATCATGAAGGTGTTTAGGTGTGTTTACTTCTGGGAGCTTTACAATTTTACCTTTCATGTTTATCTCTATTATCTAACTTGAATTAATTTGTGTATGGTGTGAAGTAGATTTCAAAGTCCATTGTTTTCCATCTGGATGTCCAACTAATACAGCACTACTTGCTGAAAAAGATCATCCTCTTTCCCTATTGAGCTGCAATAACACTCTTGCTATAAATCATGTCTCCATATTCTGTTTCTTTGGTCTGCTTATTTATCCTTGCACTCTTTTAATTATTGAGCATGGATATTAATAGAGCCACTAGGACCCTTAAACATGTTTCAGTGACCTGTCTTTTCTCTGAAATCTGCATGAAACCTATTTTCTGCCTTTCTAGGCATCTCTTGCTTTGGAAATAACCACGCTCACTGCTGCTGCTGCTGCTGCTGCTGCTCTCTCTCTCTTTTCTCTCTACCTAATACAGATGATTCATTTCCCATGTTCCAACAATGAGAAACCTTTCTTAACACAGGATGGAAGTGTGGGTTTAGCAGGGTTGGGCACATCTCAGGGAGATTGACAATTACCCAGAGCTCAGGAAAGAGATTAAGTTTAGAGATATGGTCCATACATGGTAGTAGACATCATGGGCATAGATGAGATCAATAGGGAGAATGGAGAGAAGAGATGAAGAAATGGAGACTTGGGACCACCAATTTTTAAGATCCAAAGAGCGAAATTCTTGCTTACAAGGGAGAATGAAAATATGGCACCATGAAAGGAGGAAGATAAAGAGAGGTTGATATCACAGAAGCCAGGAATAAGAGACTGGTCAATGTCACCCAACACAACTCAGAGGTAAAGTAAGATGAAGAATGAAAGAGTCCATTGGGTTTCACATCTGGAGGTAACTGAAAAAAATGTTTTCACATCAGGACAGGGATAAAAGACAGGAGGCAATTTGTCCATAAGTAAATGGGAAATAAGAAGGTTCAGATTCCTCTTTTTATTTTATTTTTCTTGAGACAGGGCTTCACTCGGTTGCCCAGGCTGGAGTGCAGTGGCATAATCTCAGCTCACTGCAACCTCCACCTCCCAGGTTCAAGTGATCTTCCCACTTCAGCCTCCCCAGTAGCTGGGACATTAGGTGCATGCCAGGATGCCTGGCAAATTTTTTTTTTTGGTGAGATGGAGTTTCACTATGTTGTCCAGGCTGGTCTTGAACTCCTAGGCTCAAGCAATTCACCCGTTTCAGCCTCCCTAAGTGCTTGGGATTATAGGTATGAGCCACTGCACCTGGCCTAGATCCCTCTTTCTAGAAACTTGAATGAGAACAGAAGATAGGCAAAAGGAGAAAGATTGAAAGAGTATTTGTTGTCATGCTGGTTTTGTTTACATTGTTGCTCTTGTTGTTTATCCTACAGCTTAGGTTCCAAACCTTATTTTGGAACAACAAAAATAAATGTTCTTCTTTCCTTTCTTTTTCCTTTCTCTTTCTCCTCTCCCTCTTCAACCTTCTGTATCTTGGCAACTCATTCCCTCTATTATCAACCCCTCTCAGAGGTGGATCAGGTTCATTTCTTGAGAGTGACAATTCAAAAAGAAGTTACTTTATGCCTTTATGACTTCCCTGTTTTGCCCCCTTCCTACCTTGGCCCTGGCCTCAATCCTGTCCCCTCCCCCTTACCCAGCCTGGCTGACCTGAGGTCCTGTCATCTCGGGTGATCACAGTACAGAGGCATGGAGGGACGTTTTTTCAACCTATGTGGAATCTCCTATTCTCGTCATGTTTCTTCTCTGTACTCAGTGTAGAAGACCTCTGGAGTTGGGTGGGCACTAAAGGGCAGTGCAGATGCTGGGAGCTAGTTCTGGTGACTGCACAGGGGAATAAGAACCCAAGCATTGAGCCCAGCCTCACTGGAGAAATGAGGATCAAACTCCAAATCTGGAGGACCAAGAGCCTGAGAAAAATAAGCCTTTGATATTGAGCCCAGAATTCAAAACTAAAAAAAGGATTTAATCTAGGTTAAAATGGTTTGGGAACAGGGGAGGAAGATCCCAAGGGATGGCTGGAATACCAGAGTGGTTCACAGGCTGCTTTCCAGGCCAAGGGGAGATCAAGGTGAAGCAGTCAAGCTGTGCTCAGGGCCAGAGAAGGCAGTCATTGGGGCTTTTATCATAAGGCCCCTCATTGAACAATCGGATACCCTAGAATCCATATTGACATCAGCAACATTGAAAAATTTTATTGATATTTTACTGAATACTGAAATATTTCACTTTAATTATATTAATTTCTCCAAATCACTACATTTTTAATGTGTTTTTATTATGCCTTGGGGTCATTTCCCCTATAAGAACTATTCGAATTTTATAATTAAAAAGGGAATTAACATTCTGAATTTAAAATATGGATTTATCAAAGTTAACTTTTCTGGATCAAAATTATACTATAAAAAGGCAGGCATTTAGAGACTTAGAGTGTGGACTATGTATGCTACATAGGAATTTTTTTCCTTTCACCTAACTTACATATAACTAGCTTTAACTGACCAATGCTGAGAAATGTCTCGGCCTGTGGATTCCTGGTCAGTATTCCAACGTGGCTTGTGGCAAACATGAGCAGGTTGCCTCAGATCTGGCTGCAGAGCACACACAGGTGAAGTGGCTGCCTTTCCTGGCAGTCAAGAGGCGAAAGCTGTCACTAGATTCTGCTACCTCAGCCCCACGCTGACAAACAACACGCTAATAGGCAAAGAACTAGACGATTCTATCTAGGAACCCAGCACGTCTCCTGGCAGAGTAGCAGGAAGGTTCAGCTTCCAAATAACAAAGTTTTGTCAGAGCCAGAAGCCCAACATCCCCCTGCCTAGATGGACGCTCACGGTTTTCTAGCTCCTCTCATCAAGTCAGACTTTCCCTCTAGGAGCAGCCTGTAAGCCACGTGTGAGCTGGGCTGGACTTGGCAGTTCTGGAAGGAACCCCTGTTGCGATCTGGTTCTGCTGCCAAAGACTCGGTCTTGTATGGAGTTTCCACTAAGTGCTGGTGTTGTGCTAGCCATGGTGGAAGACACTGGATTCTCACGTTAGAGTCAAAGAAACTGAACTGGGACTCCAAAAGATGAAGTGACTTTCCCCAAACAAATCACACCACTGGGGAAGCAGAATCAGATTCGAACCCAGATTTGTCCAGCTTCAAATTCCACACACTTTCCACTCTACCAAGCAGCTTCCTTTCCAGAAGCTATAGGTCTTCTCTGTGAGTGGAGACTCTGCATGCTGTCACTTCCCCGTCAGGAGCAGAGGTCCTCTGCAGACCCTTTTCCTGGTATCTCGGTTCCACATTTGTAACACATGAGCTAAGGCTCTTGCATCCAGCACAATGGGGGGAAAAGTATCCGGAACAATTGCCTCCTCCTGAGAGTCAGAGCTCAGTCTCTAACACCGCTGAGCCCCCAGGCTCTGCACACTGCCCAGTGAGTCTGAAAGAACATCACTGAAAACTCTGCCTTGCCACTCATACAAATCGTTTTCACATGAACTTGTGGTCATTTGCTTTCCTCACTCAACTTGAATGTGTTCAAAGAGTCACAAACATCTCGACGCTTATGAAAATGAGATTATCCAGATGCCTTTGCAGACCTTACAAATGGCCAGTGCTGTACAGCATAAACGCAGAGAAAATCTCCTCTCTCACTTGGGACTGAATGGTTGCAAATAGAGCCAGGAAAAAATGGCCAAATGTACACTAATTCCTGCTAAAGATGGCTTTATCTCTGTGCTTAAAATTTTTATTTTAAAAAATCTTCAATATCAAACATTGAATTTTTTCAATGATGATCAAAGACTGATATTTTGTGCTTAATATATGGTAATTAATTTGGAGGAAAAAAACCAAGGGGGTATAGTGGACTATAGAAAAGATGAGGGGTGAGGATGATTAGTTTTGTGTTCTTTCGGGGTCAGTGAAGAGAAACAGCTTGTTCTTGTACACTTAAGGCAGGAGTTGGGAGAGATGAGGTGAGAAGGAGAATAGGAAGGCAGATGGACACAAAGAGCTTCATGAAAGAGATGAAACTCCAGCTTATCTCCAAGATTACGGACAGATGCTTTGATGGAGATAGAAGAAGGCAGCAGTTGGAAATGCCTTGACCAAGAATACAGGGTCAGGAATGGGGAGGCACATGGGGAACTGACTCATAGATCATCTTAACAGGAGTTGGAGGCTGAAAAACAGTCATGGTGGGAAAGGAGGCAGGGACCCTGGCGGTCCTTGAATACCAGGCTGAGAAAGCCTGGACTTTCATCTTTGAAGCAAAAGGAATCATCAGAATTATTATTATCATTATTATTTGAGATGGAGTCTTGCTCTGTCACCCAAGCTGGAGTGCAGGAGTGCAATCTCAGCTCACTGCAACCTCCACTTCCCAGGTTCAAGCAATTCTCCTGCCTCAGCCTCCCAAGCAGCTGGGATTTCAGGCACGTGCCACCACATCCGGCTAATTTTTGTATTTTTAGTAGAGACAGGGTGTCACCATGTTGGCCAGGCTGGTCTCAAACTCCTGACGTTTTGATCCACCCTCCTTGGCCTCCCAAAGTGCTGAGATTACAGGCATTAGCCACTGCAACCAGCTGCATCAGAATTCTTTAAGCAAAGGTGTGACACAATGAAAGTAGAAAAAAATAGAAGATTATCTGTGTGGTAAAAAAAGAAGGACAAGCTGGAACACAAATTATTAGTATATTCACCTATTGTACTTTGTCTTCTTTCATAAAAGAGTTGAGGCTTCCGATCTGCTGCTCTGGTCCAAGGGTTAGCAGATGAACGGAAGCCCTCCATCCCTTCTGTGCCCAGATGTTTTCTGCCTGTGGTTGGAGGAATGACAGAGCCAATGAAAGCCTGGAGCCAGCCAGGGCATCGCACACTTTCTGCCCATGGTTGATTCATCTCCACTCTCCCCTGGCCAACCTACAAGACCTGCTGAAGCTGCTTCCCATCCAGCCCACACTCTGCCTTCCCATCTCTGCTTCTGGCTGCCTGCCGCTGCCTCTGATTCCTGAATACAGTCACATCGCTTCAGGTCTTGCTGCTGTGTCCTTGAGTCTCCCGCAGGTCTGGTTTTGGCGTGCCTGCTCACAATCTGCCGCAGTATAAACCAGCATCCCAGCAGCAGCCGTTTCCACCACAGGCCCCATAGCCCAGTAGGAGGCAGGGCCTCTCCAGGGCCAGCTGTGGGGATTTGGAGCTGCTTGGGAAGGATCTGCAGAAGTCCTTCCTGCTTGGGAAGTACTGTGTGAGGGACAGCATGTGTCCCAGATGGGAAAGTCAGGGAAGTTGTTGGTCTTGAGAATCCTCCTGGCTCTTCAGGGACAGCCTCTCCCCCTTCAGATGATGTCACCTGGACTAGGTACAAATCTTAGGCCACATGCTCACGTGGGCAAGACATTTGGTCTCATCATCTCCTTTATTTTCATAAAACAGAACGTCATTACTAATTTAAGCCCCTAGATCCCTGGGGGATAGAAACAATCCTAGTTAATGTGGGTCTCTTACAACCTTACCCCACCAAGGTTGTGAAGTTTTCTTACACAGTGCTAGGGTAACAGAAAGAGTGGGAGAAATATTCCTGTATTCCTGCTGGCACCTCATGCCCATCTGGTCTTTGGTCATTTGTCCATTCAGGTTGCTTCAGGTCAGCCCTGATTTCTGACCATAAGGCCTCTTTGGGTCCATCTATCTCTCAACTACTGTCACACCTATCTCTATACTAGACTTCATGTAAGGCCGAGACGCTCATAAAACTAGACCCCCCAAGTTCCATCATATACCTGGAGCCATTTCCTCTCTGGGATTCTGTTACCTCAGCAGGGTTCTTCCCGGGCATGGGTACAAGATTCCTCTCCCTTAGACTCCCAAACGTATTTTTCCCTCTTTGGCCCACAGCTTTCTCAGGAGGTGTGCCCATTGATCCCTTGGCAAGCAGACACTGAAATACAGTTAAGAGTTTAAGAGGTTTAGTGATGGGGAGGGAGGACATGTGTAAAGATAAAGATAAGATAAAAGGGAGAGGAAGGAGGATTGGGCAGGGAAGCTTCAGTCTGCCAGGAAGAGCTAACAAAGTCTCCACCAACACAGTAAGGAGGACCAGAGGAAAGACCACTCACTGCATTGGGCACAATAGCCAGGTCCTAGTGTCCCACTCTATCATCCCTGGCTGGAACTTCCTAGGGAAAGTGTAGGCTTGGCCCAAATGCTGCAGCGAATCCGGAGGCACTGCATCTACAGGCTGTGAACCAGCTGCCCTCCTCCCAGCCGAATGACAGGTTCTTTCCAGAAAGGAGAAGCCAGCCGCGCATCTTCACAGCTTCGTAGGAGCCTCTCACACCTGCACACTCCACTTTCTCTCCAGCCCCCAACCCAGCCCAGGATGAGGAATCTTAGTGAGCCTTTGGTGGTGGAGGGCGCTTGCTATAAATCACTTCGTAGCTCCTAGAGCTGTTTCTGGGCAACCCAAGGACTATGCCTTTGAAATCCAGAAGCCAAAAGTGGATCTTGTTTTCTCTACATTATGAAACCTCTCCCATTAAGAAATGAACTCGGAATAGCCTAGGTTTACTGAAGAGAGGCCATGGGAAAGGGGACACAGTAAGACTAGAGACAGACATTAATTTTTGAACTATTATGCCACCACATGTTTTCACTTAGTGAATCGTTGTGTCTTTACAACAGAAATTCACTTCTCATTCTTCACTTTTCATTCTTCCAAATGCCTTCCTCCCTTTCAGCAAGATAAGAGCTCTTCCTCCATTTCAGCACCTGGTTAGGCAAACTGTGTTCTGGCCATGGAGGTAACACAGCCTCTAGGATCTCCAAGCACTATCAGGCAAGCTGAAATACACATTGGGCTCTCTCCGACCACCATGCTGGGGCCTTTTCCAGGAAACTTTCTATTCCCCCAGCACTAGCTCCTTTCTCAAGTGACTGATAAAGAATAAATCAAAAAGGTTTACATTGCACCTACACATGGAAGTCACTGTTCTCAGCTCTATAATAACTTAAGCTCCACAGAAACCTTATGAGACAGGTGCCACTATTATTCCCATTTAACAGATGAAGCGAATGAAGCACAATGAGGTCAAGTAACTTCCTTGAAGCCACACAGTCACAAACAGGCAGGACCAGGATTCAAACCCAGCCAGTCTTCCTGGCCCCAGAGCCAGAATGCCAAATTTCTACAGTCAGTGCATTGCTACCAGGAGCTTAACTTAAAAGGGAGCAGTAACTTGGGGTGAAAGGAGCTGATCCAGACACACAGTTGCCAGAGCGGCACAGAGCCACAGCTCTCTGGAACCTGGGAAAAACAATTCCCTCAACTTACAAGGGGAGAAATGGGGGCCTAGAGAGACCAAGTAATGAAGCTGGTGGTGAGTGCAGGCTGGAAGCAAACCCATCTTTTCTGACTTTCATGCTAACAACCCGTCATCATCACCAGGGGAAGAAATTGCTCATGGCTTGTGCCTCAGAGTGGAGGGCTAGCCTCATCCTTGGTGGCATTTATCAAAGTCATATTTGTGATGCTTGAAGTAGCAAAGAGGCATTTAACTGATCACACAGAACAGTAAAGAAGCAGCATCACTATGAATGAGGCAGTCTCACATCTTTCCAGGAAAAACCTAAGCCCCTACTCACTGTTTATGATGAGAAGCCATCTATAGAATCTATTTTATGTGTAGCACATCCTACAGTTGAGGATGTTACCTTTTGAGAAAGTGATTTATTCCTTCCACAAGTGTTTGAGTACCTACTATATGCAAGGTACTAGAAAAACTTCCAGGAATGAAAACCACAGGGTGTCATTCAAGGGTCTTGCAGTCATAAACAGGAAGTTATCACAATAAAGTAGAAACAGATGTTATCTCTGCTCTCACCTAATGATCATAGCAACTAACATTTGCAAGTTTACAGAGCACTCAAACATTTATATCTGGAACACCATTCCATTCCTCACCTCCCTCTCCAGCGGAAAACTCCTGTTCACCCTGCAAAACACGCTCAAATGTCAACTCCTTTGTGTTGCCTGCTTTGACTGCCTACTTTGTCCCCACAAGGGATTCCTTTTTTCCTTCCTTTCTCCTATCTTTACTCCCATCCTCCTTTCCCTCATTCTTCTTTCCTTTCCTACTTTCCTAATGACTGAATTTTTTAGCAGTTTCCATGAGCTACGCATTAGTGTTAACGCTTGACCAGTATTACTGTATTCAGTCCTCACCACAGCCATATGGGAAGAACAAAGACACTCCACCATATTGCGGTACATGTGTCCAAGAAATATAAATTTACACAATATTTTCCAACTAGACTGCCACCAAAATCTCCATGTGAGGATGGAAAGCTGTCTGCTGGACGCATGTGCTCTCACAAGACTGAGAGGACCCTAATAGTCACACACGGGCTGATTCGACCTGCCATGGACCCACCCAGCCCTAAACCCCATGCCAGGCAGTGGCCCTTGCCTGGACTCCCCACTCCTCCCCACCTGCATTCCTGCCCACTCTTGGGAACCCCTCTGCCAAATGAACCACTTAGCAGTCCTCCTCTTGCAGCCCTCTAGGCCCCTCAGATGACCCAGCTAAGACTGGCCCCGAATGGAGACTCACCCTCTGCTATCTTTCCTGCAGGTCCAAGCTGTCTGCAGCTTTGTTCATCCATAGAGTGATTCCCCACCACTCTCTTCCACTACTCAGCACAGCTGAGCTCAGCCCAGTTGCAGAGAATAGAGGCACGGGCCCAAGTAGAAAAGGCCCAGGGTGAGGGCTCACATAGACTTCAGAGGCTGCCCAGCCAAGCACACCTGGATTTGAAACCAAACACCTGTACTCAAACCCCAGTTCCAACACCTACATGTGCCCTGGGCAAGTGATTGAACATCTTTAAGCCTCATCCTCCTCTCCAGAACATGGGTTTGCAATAATAGCTCTCACCTCACAAGGCTCTTGAGGAAAAATGAGATACTATAACTGCTTTGTAAACCAGGAAGTGTCATTGTATACATATTTAAGATACTCACATAGCTATTATTGTGACATGTAATAGTATATATTGAGGTGTTAGAGCTTAAAGGTTAAACTGTAAATTCTAGAGCCAAGATGGCCAGGGTTCAAATCCTAGGTTAGCCACTTACTAGCTATGTGACCTTGGGCAAGTTAATTAAACTTTCTGAGCTTCAGTTTAGTTTCCTCTTCTGTAGTGTTTCAAGAATACTAAATAGGTTTACCCATTTAAAGCAATTAAACAGTGCCAAGCACAGAGTCAGCATTCATACATGCCAGCTATGACTAATGTAGGATTCAAAAAGATTAGTGTGTTATTATGATTATAGTAACTAATATTTGAGAATTTACAGAGCATTTACAAATTTGTTTCTGAAAGCACAAAGCAAGCAATCACTTCTCACCCAGGGAAATTAACCGAGGAGGTGACACTTAGGCTGGGCAAAAAGAAGAATAAGATTTGGACTGGTGGGATGGAAGGTAGAGCCAAGGGTGAGCGGGCAGTGAAGGCAAGGATGAGTCCTGCCCACAGGATGTATCGCAGGAACCTCCAGCTGCTGGAGGTTTCAGGAAAGGTTCTTCATCTTTATCGTGGAATAGAATCACCTGGGAACTTTAAAAACAATGTGGGCTCCCAGGCTCCATTCTGAGAGATTCTAAATCAATGGGTCTTAGATGGAACGTGGGCATTAATCATTTTTAAGTTTCTCAGTGTGGCCAGGTTTGAAGACCTGCATGCTACAGCAGCAGGTCTCAAATTCTGTCTGCATTGGAATTGTCTGGAAAGCTTATTCAAACACAGATCTTTGGTCCACATCCTCAGAGTTTCTGACTCAGTAGTTCTGGGGTGCAGACCAAGAGTGTAGCTGTTCAACAACTTTCCAGGTATTTTAGTCCGTTTTCAGACTCCTATAAAGAACTACGTGAGACTACGTGATTTATGAAGAAAAGAGTTTTAATTTACTCACAGTTTCACAGGCTTAACAGGAAGCATGGCTGGGAGGCCTCAGGAAACTTACAATCAAGGCAGAAGGCAAAGGGGAAGCAGGCACCTTCGTCACAATGAGAGTAGGGGAGAGAGAGCAAAAGGAGAAGCATTACCCTTTTAAATAATCAGGTCTCATGAGAATTCCAACACAAGACAGTACTAGTGGGGTGGCGCTAAACCGTTAGAAACGATCCCTATGATCCAGTCACCTCCCACCAGGCCCCTCCTTCAACACATGGGGATTATATTTCAACATGAGATTTGGTAAGGGACACAGAGCAGAACTCTATCACCAGGTGATGCTGGTGATGCTGGTTGGGTTCCACACTTTGAGAACCCCTGAACTAGGGCACAGGCTGCATGAAGAACAGACTGAGATGAGGCTTATTCTGTTGGCTCCTGGGTGTCTGTCATGCCAGCCTATGAAGTTTTAGGCTTTACTCTGTCGGTACTGGGATGTTGAGGGGATGCTCGGAGCTGTGTATTAAGAAAATAAACCTTGCAGCTAGATGATTGAGCGATAGGGAAGGAGGAGAACAAAGCCCAAGAATCCCGTTGGAAGGCTTTTTTTGTTGTTTTTTTTTTTGAGACGGAGTTTCGCTCTTGTTACCCAGGCTGGAGTGCAATGGCACAATCTCGGCTCACCACAACCTCCGTCTTCTGGGTTCAAGCAATTCTCCTGCATCAGTCTCCCGAGTAGCTGGGATTACAGGCGTGCACCACCATGCCCAGCTAATTTTTGCATTTTTAGTAGAGACGGGGTTTCACCATGTTGACCAGGATGGTCTCGATCTCTTGACCTCGTGATCCACCCGCCTCGGCCTCCCAAAGTGCTGGGATTATAGGCATCAGCCACCGCGCCCGGCCCAGTTGGAAGGTTTTTAAGAGCCAACAGCCTAGACTCAGGAAAGTGCAGCCTGAAGAAGAGCAGCCGCACTGAGAGTGAAGAAGCAGAAGTGAGGAAGAGGAAGTAAATGCTGGCAGAATTTCCGAGGTCAAATTCAGAAGACATAGTGGCAGTGAGCAGAGAAGGAACAGGAGAGGGAAGAACTCTATGGTGCCCAGGTCTCAGGTCTGAAAAACAAGCATGGGGTCAGGAGCAGGCCCATGGTGAGCAGTGACAGTGTGGTTTCTGATACCTGCATTGGAGGACAGAGATGGACCATAGGCTGTTCAGCCCCAGCGTTTAGTCTGGAATTCAAGACACTGTAACAAGGAGGGAATCATAAAAGCAATGGTGGGAATTAAGACATTAGGTCCAAGGACAGATCCTAGGGCCATCCAGCCCAGCCACCAGGAAGAAAAGGGACAAATACAAGCCAAGAGCCAAAGGAAAAGATTAAAGGGAACAAAGTATAAAATGCTACAAGGCATGACAATGGTAACTGGAAAAAATTAAAAATGAAAAAAAAAATGTAGTGAAAGTAAACTGTCAGGGAGAAAGAGCCAGTTCCAGTGTCAGAGCCCACCCGTGCTAACTGAGGGGACAGCCTGTGACCCTGCACTGACAGCCTGATGTGGAGCCCTTAGTTTCTCACTTGGCCTGTGAGCCAACAGTAGGGCCCATGCAAGCCCTGCCCTCGCTCTCCAGCAGCCTGTCTGCCATCCCGTAAGACTCAGAGTGTGTTGAGAGCAAAGCCCCGGGCCTGGCATTAATGGTTTTTGTCATCACCAAGCTCAGTCACCAGCTGCTGCTCATCTCACCAAACGCCTGTGCACTAAGGAACACATTTTCCATAAAATCCCAGATAGGGTAGAGAATAGCCAAAAACAGACTGCATGTGGTTTAAAGCTTGCTTGTGGTCACAGGTCTCACACAAGCCTCTGAGAGGAGACAAGGAAACACACAAAATAATACTGGAGGGACTGCATTCTCCCTGCCGTCTGCAGCTTGCTCAGGCCCAAATCACTTAGGCAGGAGCTGCAGGAAAATGAGCAGCGGGTGTTGGAGCATGAAAATTGGGCTTTGATGAGGGCCAGGGCACCATACAAATAACATCAGAAGTCTCACAAGCAACCACAGGCCATAAGATTAGTTGAAACTACAAAGCCAGCCAAGAAAGACCCATGGACATGTGTCCTTATAGTAGAACGATTTATAGTCTTTTGGATATATACCCAGTAATGGGATTGCTGGGTCAAATGGAATTTCTATTTCTAAGTCCTTGAGGAATCGCCACACTGTCTTCCATAATCCAATAAAAAATTTAAAAAAAAAAACCTAAATCAGGAAGAATGAAAAAAAAAAAAAAAAAAAAGACCCATGGAATTCTCCATCCCTTCCACCCTGAAACACAAATGGAGGCTTCGCCTACTCTCTGAATAAGGTCAGACCACTTCTTCCACTTGATGGGTGGGATATTGTTTCATCAGAAGCTTTGTTCTCCTCATGGGGCTCTATTTGCCACCCCTGACTTCATAATGAGGGAAGTGACTCCAGAGAGGTAAGGGGCTGAGGAGTTTTAGGCAGCACTTACATGTCCTGCGAGGTGTTATGATGCAAACTCCCACCTCAAATAGCCCCTGAGAGGTTGAGAAGATAAAGCACCACACGGAAAAACTAAGTGACGGGCCCAGGAGCTGCAGCAGGTACTTTGGTAGTAGGTTCCTGCTTATACAGCCCACCCAGCTGCAGTGATTTCAAGGGAAGACTCTGAGCTGGAAGAGGAAAGGGGAGGCCAGGTCAGAGAAGACAGCATCTCTGTTTTGTGCATCTCTAGCATCCGTTCCCCTTTTTTCTGGTAACAGCACCCTAACCTCCACCCATGTAGTTTGGAGTGAAGCTCCCTTAACTGCAGCTGGCAGTTGACTCAGGAATATCCAGACTATTTCACACCCCTTGCTACAGTGATTGGTGCTGAGTTGGACATAGAACCCATCCCCAACCAGTAGGCATCAGATACTGACTCTTGTAGGAATTAGGGGGGAAATCTCTTTTTCTGCTGGGATTAAGAGCAGAGAGTGAGCCCAGAGCTGCTAGCAAGCTCATCTGAGAGGAAAAACAGAGTGAAAAAAGGTAGAAACATGCATTCCTAATTGGGAGGAAAACCAGCAAATCTACCCACGTTTAAAATAAACTCCACCTGTAAACTTTTTAGTTACATGAGCCAGGAAATTCCCTTTGGTTAACGAAGGTTGATAGCATTTCTGGCACTTGCACACAAAAAAATTCTGATCTTTACACCAAGAAGAAGTATAATCTCAGGCTTAAAAGCTCAAGCATTCCTCAACTCAAACTAAAGCACCCCTGAGTCATTGTGAGAGTAAAATGCAATGGCCTTTGTATATGCCCAGTGCAATCTCTGCCACACTCAAGAAATTCTGGACACCAGCCCTGTCCTCTGAATACTCACAGTCCCACAGGGTAGGCACACAAATTGCTACAAAAAAACTGGGGCATCATATGATAGGAGCACTAATAGACATGTGAACAGGGTACCGGGAGCATGGAGGAAAGGAGGGAGCACCTCGTGGCTGAGTGCAGAGAACGCCTGCTTAATTAAATTGAATTGAATGGCACTTTGCCTGTCTATACCCATGAAATCATGACGTGTTTAAAGCCCCCGTCAGCTGGCAAGGTAGGAGAGGAGGGAGTGGAGAGCGCCATTTATTGAATATCCACTATGCAGCATGTACTGTATGCTAGATTTTTGTGTCCAATCCTCACGGCAACCTAATAAAGTAACTATGAGCATTATTAATGTATACACGAGGAAGTCGGGACTCAGCAGGGTTCAGATTCCCCAAACAGAAAAATCCAGGGGAAAGTCTACCTTCAGGGATGGCTTTATCCAGGGACTCACCCAATGTTGTGAGACCCTGGTTTCTTTCTGTCACTCACTTCTGCCTTCCACAGTGGCTTCAGGACCCTCATCGTGGGGGTTCATAAAATGCACCCTAGAGCTTCAGGCTTCCCTCATCCTTTCTGCCTGAAATAACTCGCAAGAGCATACCCCTACCCCATGGTCCCAAAAGGTACACTCCTGTGCCTTATTGTCTCTTATTGAATCACATGCTCATCCCTAAACCAAACGCTGTGGCCAGAGAATATGATGCTTTCAGTGCCCAGGATAAGTCAAAACTTGATTTTTGGAGCTGAGACTTCCTTAAGTGCATATGGATAGAGTGGAGTTGATAGTAGCTCCTCAGAAGGACATTGGGTAAATGGATACTGGATGATACCTACAGTGAGGTTCAAGACAAGTCTTTCCTTCCTTTCTTCTTCAACATACTTTATGAATATGATTCATGCAAATAGGTAGCCCTGGAAATGGTTGGAAACTCACAATTTTAAGTATTAAAGTAGCAGGTAACACTGGCTTTGGGTTCTCTAACAGTCCTAAAAAAGAATATGAATGTAGTATATAAAACACAGGGTTATAACAACATCTCTATTTAATGCCAGTCTCCTAACCTTTTATTTAGCATACCTGTCCATCAACCTTAAAATTTACACATACAGCAGAGCCTAGGGCAGCGGTCCTCAACCTAGCTGTACATCAGAACCACTGGTGGGGCTTATATAAACACGCAAACACCAGACCCAGCTTCTGAAGGTCCAGAATCAATACATCTATTCTAAGAACTCCCAGTCTACAGTTTGCTAACCCTGGCAGGAGGATCAAGGTTCACATGTTATTTGCTAAATCTGCAAATGACTGATTCATTCCCATTTATTCTAGACAAAGGCTGAGAAGCAAAGGATATTGAAAAGATATTGACAAATGAAGCCAACACATTTGGTCAGAGTAGTCACTATTTGGTAGAGTTTGGGGCTACCTGTCTCAAGCTTCGCTCCTTTTCCCATCCTGAAATTCTCTCTGTGTGTGTTCTTCTACATACATGATCTTTGATATTAGCATCTATACATAAAGCTTCTGCTCACCAACCCCTAACCATTTAGTATGAAAACAAATAAAACTAGATCCTCCTGGCATGCCCGACCCTGCCTTGTTTACCTGGGGAAACCAGTCCAAAAACAAAATTGCTGTTGAAGGAATGGTCACCAATAGTAACGAGATCACCAAATGTGTGGCCATTGTGTATATTTTAGAAATTACTTTTTCCTGAGTGATTTTATTTAATTTATAGCAACCTCATGGAGTGAAGATAATGGGGAAATTATCCCCTCATTATGTTTCTTCAGACTTTAAGATCAGAAAATAATTTCTTTCTCCTCCTGATCCATCATGTACCTCTTCATTACACAGTGACTAACAGATCTCCTGGGTATTTCCGTTTATGCCTTGGCTTAATTTCCAAATATCCAAGACTAATTGAACCCTTAGTTTCTGTAGCCAAATTGGCTAGGATTTGGGTATTATTCCTCCCCATCCTCAGTGTAATGCCTGATCTTTTGTCTCAATAGTCTTATTTTGTATGTACTCTTTGTTACAACCTATAAAAGTCTTCTTTGGAAATAAATAATGTAAACATTATCGATAGAGGTATGTGTTGCTTATTTTTCATTTATTAAGCATTTAGAGAAAACTTCTGCTTTAACTTGGTTCCAGACCTTCCCCGGTGCCTTGGCTAACTGTTCATACCATGTGAGCGCTCAGCCCTGTATGGAGCCCAACAAAGCTTTCATTGACTTCCTTTCCCCTTTTTTCTGCAACTCCGATTTTCCTTTCTCCCTTTTCCAACTTGGGAGGTAAACTTTGCTCCAGAGGAAAACCCTGACCAAACACCTAATTTCCCTCTGCATCCTGAAGAGCCTCAGATCAAACAGAACAATTAACTCAGCAAACAATACCATTAGTCAAGCTCCCTCTGTACCCACCAGCTCGAAACTGAACAAATGCCGAACAAACACCTCTTGGAGCATATGGCGGTGGGGAATTGCAGGCAGAGATTTTATGGGCCTCTCAGCGGGCCTGCTCCAGCATTTTGGGAACCAGACTATTTAGCATATGTCACTGTTCCCAGCTGCCTTGGGGCCTTGGCTGGGGACTACAGCCTTGTGTATACAAGTAACAGTATTCAAAGTCAGGTATGGCTGGGACCAGCTTCCACAGCACTGCAAACCCAGAAGGTGCCCTGGTCAGGACTCCGGCTCCTCGGGCCTGACCAACAGAACCCAAAAGAGGAACACACGCACAAGGGTAAGCTTTCCCTAGTTATCTGAGAGCCTGACACATCACTCACTTTTCAGTCTGGGAAACTTCTTGGTTACTTAGGCAGAAATGGAAATTCATTGAAAATCTCAATGTACCATAAGAAAAGTAGTCTTTACAGAAATCAGAGACTAAAATGACCTACTAAGGTATCTCGTCCACCCCCTATCAGCACAAGATTGGTCCCTGAAGAGTTTCAATAGTTCATTTTTAAATAACTCTAACAATGCATTTTCCAACACAGAACTCCCCAGGAGAGACTGTTCTAATAGATTTCATTCTTAGGAAGTATGCCCAAGATTCATCCTCCTTTCTCCATTTCATAAGCTGCTCCTTGGACCATCCGAAACGATTCCAATAGCTCTTGCTGCATTCTCTCTGTGAGGCACTTGGCTGTAGCAGCCTTTTCATCATGTAGTTTGTAATTCTTTCTTATTTTGGAGAGGCTGACTGATAGATTTGAAATTTGCTAGGTACCTGTATGGTTAAAATATACACAGTCTCATAAAGCTGTGCCCTGTAGTAAAACAATCAGAAATCAAAAGGTTAAACTGAAGGAGGCAGGAGGTAAATTAAAGCAGACAGAGGTTCAAAGCATGGGATCTGACCAGCCTGTGTTCATATCCTGGTTCTGCTACCTGCTTAAGGGTGTGTCCTTGATAGAGCTCTCTGGGCTTCTGCTTCCTTGTGTATAAAATGGGAAAAATATTGCCTATCTCAGAACATTGTTGAGAAGATTAGGTGAAAGATCAAGTATCTGGCATAGAGTGACAATCATTAAGTAGCATCATCTTTTTTTAATTATAAAA